ACACGCGCCCGGCGTGTTTTAAGCCACTGGGTCCGGGACGCGAACCGTGGTTGACTATGTGGGAATCCAGCAACATAGCCATTACGCTGACTGCTGGTTCCCTAGTTGACCATGGTTTGAGTCTTGGACCTGGCGCCTTAAAAGTCACACTGGGTGTGTGTGTCCAAAATCCTGAGAGGAGACTGAAGGAGAAGGGATTGCAGCGTGGCCATCCTCCCTGGGGGGTGATTTCCTGCTTTCTGTCTCTCTGTGTCCCTGTCTCTCTAGCAAATAGCAAATACCTCTCTTACACAAACAAACAAACAAAAAATCTTTTTCCCCCCTCACTTTAAAATATGTTATGTGTGTGTCATTTGAGGAACTACACTTAACATGAGGATTGCTCATGAAGAATTCTTATTAGCCCTGCAAAGTTTTATGTGCTTTTGATATTTGGAGATGGATATTTTATAATTTTAGGGAAACTTTTTACCAAGATACTGAAGGATTTTGAGTGAAGAGTAAATTGGATGCTAAATTGCAAATAGTAAGTGATCTGTATTTGGTAAGTGCTAGCTTGAAAATCAAACTATATCGTGGGAGACCTGTAAATAGGTAGAACTGATGTATTTCCCAGAGTTTATTTTTAATTTTTTAAAAATAATTATTTTATTTAGCTTTTTAGCTATTATTATTTTCCAGTTTGATCAGCCAGAGAGAGAGCGAGAAAGCAAGAGAGAAAGAAAGTGAGAAAGCGAGCCACCAGGGGGGCTCAAACCGTGGTCGGCATTTGGGAGTATCCAGTGCCTTAACCACCATGCCACCTACTGGTCCTCTATTTTTAATTTTTTAAATTGTACTCACCAAGTAAGAGAAAACACCCCCCCTATGGGGGCTGATTACTTGCAATCCTTTCTCCATTTTTCCTTCGTGTTGGGATTTTGAGCATTCATGTTCGTATGTTGGGCATGTTTTCAAGCTGCTGGGGCTGGAATTCAGACTGGTTGGCCATGTAGGATCCAGCTCCCTTAACCAGTAGGCTACAGTGCTGGCCCCACCAAGGGTTTAAAAACAGCAACAACAACAAAAACCTACATGTTGTGTTTTATTAAGCATATGCTTGTATGGTTATTTAGGTTAAGATTTTGCAGTCCTGTTGGAAAAGACTAGCCTGCAAAATGTTTAGGGTTAATTCATAAAGGACCTTAATGTGATTTCTTTCTTTTTTTTTTTTTTTTTTTTTTTTTTTTATTTTTTTT